GAAACGCTTTATTCTTGTTAAGTCCAAAGTGCTTCAGGGGTAGAATGTGAACTCGTCTTGTCGAAAAGAAGTATTAAATGAGTTATCCAGTGGTGTAGAAGCGGCCAATAAATTCTGGTGTGGAACTGCATCCCAGTTCAAGTATCCACAATTGCAAGTAGAAGTGGGGACAGGGAAGTAGGCAATAACAACAACAACAGGGATACGCTGGAACGAGGGCAAAAGAATAACGGTAAACGTGGAAGAAACGGATCATTGTTGCTCTTGGGAACGCAACAATACTAAAGAAAAACGGACACTTGCGGGATTTTGTTCGACGATAGCATCCTACTCGAGAACGTCGATGACCTTTTAATCGGCGCGAGGATCGTCCCATGTCTGGTATGACTTTTCCTATATTTCTAGAATGTGAGTAGATTCGTGGCGACCGACTGATTCGAACGGATCTTTCNTTTCGTAATGATGTCTTCTGTGAATGCTTATTTGGGGTCTCAATTCTGGTAATGTCCAATAACTGGCTGCCTCATTGTTTGCTGACTGTCGACGGGAGGAGTTGGAACTACGTGTACTTTCCTGGACATAAAAAACCTCTGTATCCACAGTCTGTTCGATGGCCATGCCAGCTGTATTCAATAGAACAGAACAGAACATTTTTTAATTCATTGTGTTGAATTATGCAATTGTTAGGATGACATTGCTCTTGTCCAATTCATGAGTTCATAAAGCTTCCCTCTACATTCTCACCATATACATACAACAGACAGACGGGCAAACAGACAAAATATTTTTGTCTCAACGAATAGTGAAATAAGGCGAAGGAAAAACGTCATACAAAAGAAAACTATGATGAATAGCAAATCCACCTGAATTGCTCTTTCTGTAAAAACTGATTGTCTCAGTGGAATCGTCCAATGACAGTTACTTGCATATATATCCAGAGAAATAAATAACACAAAATAGACGTACCGACTTTCAGCGTCGTACAGGAGATTTTTTTCGGTGGATGAAGCTGATCTAAAGATAAACAGGCACGAGCCGAAACTCCGCCGTTTGTCGGTGTGACATTCGTGTCACTCATTTTACTTCCGGGCGTTTCTGCAAAAGGAACGATATAAAGATATAAATATTGATTTATTCTCAGCCTGACTTATACAGTACTACGGTGAAATCGGCAGAAAGAATATGAAATAGTTTTCACCGAAATATAAACATAATACAAAATTTGGTTAGAAGTCAGCAGGGTGCCGGTTTAGCGAAACCTTCTGAAACCACTTTTTTCCTCGCAAAATAAAAGCACTGTCTGGATTACAACACCCCATTCCAGCCGCTAATGGTGTGATAGAGCACTTCCGATCACTAATCCACGATATCAGTGTATAACTGAGAATTTGTTTATCGGGAGGTGGATATCGGTGAGAGTAAACCGGGTTACTTAAGACGAAACATGCAATCTGCAAGTCAACTCACGGTTTTGTGAAAGCCTCTGGATCAGTAGCCAAGCAGTTCACCAGTATCTTCACATCCTTTTTTCTCTCAATATTAAATTCACTTATATTCTCCTGGACGTCCTGTTCATTTTCGAATACTGCGAGAATCCACCTACTGCGTTATTACACTACTCACATAATATGAGTAACACATCACTAGATTCCTTTCATAAAGTAATGCCCCCGTGGGCAACATTTTAGATCTGATTTTCATGAGGTCCATTTGCTTGCCCTTATACACAATCGGATTGTGATCAAGGTCAACTTACAGACTACCTAGGCAGAACCCGCTTCTGGTGGAAAACAACTTATTATGCACATATACCTTAGCATAGGTTTACTGTGCTGATCATACACAAAGATTGGTTGGAGAGAAATAACTACTTCTGGTTCTCTTGCATCCTGCGCATTTTAAGATTTGATAGGCCTTAGATTTTCCGGAATGCTCCCTTTTGGTAATAATCCAGTGAGAAAACCACTTTCACTTTGCTAGACTTTCGGCAGAATTAGCCATTAACCAAATAGGTTGCCACGGCGAGCGAACTTTGCCGAAGTAGGTATCGGTTGGAAAAATGTCAAGGGTGGTCAAACGAAGACCTGGCATGAGAGTATGAAAACCGTAACGAGGAGACCAAGTCACACAGGCCCCGTTAGGCTCCCTGGCTGGCGACCTCGGGATGATGGTCACCGATGGTTAGAGAGACTGACTGATATGGCTGAGTGTCGCAAACAGTGGCGCTCGTGCATCCACTCATTATTCTCCTAACACTACTCTGTATGAATTCCTCAGCTTCCGCTTGAGTTTGCTTTCAATATTCCAATTTTCATTCTGCTCTTTTATCCAAATTGGGCACCTAAAGACAGAAATCAAAACCGGCGCATGAAAGTGCATGGTAATGGTTGTAAAAACTGAAACTGTGAACCAAGGGATGCGAAGCAGTCTCTAACATTTTGCAACCGACAGAGTTACAATATACTTTTCCTATCTCCCGCTAGCTGAACATGTTCATTTGAGCTAGGTAACTAATCTTATCAGCTCTCCCAGGTGAGCACCTGCAAGATACCTAAATATTATGGTGTGACATTTTCACATTAGCTCAGTTCAGTTCTTTCTGCAGTTACCTTTACACTTTTGAGTGGTAATCTTTTTGTTGTCTTGTGATTGTGCGGCTGAATGAAGGAGGAGAAATCTGTAAACAGCAACGGGTTAAATATACGGAATAAAGTTGAATTATGAATGTTTGGATTATCCCAATTCGGTTTTTCACAGGCACCAGGCACTGTTGATGATGTTGGTTGTGGGTTTCACTCCTTGGAAGATCGTTAATTCCCCACTGTTTGTATGCATTTAAATGCATAACGATCTCCTAAGGACCCACAAGTCAATCATTGAGAGAGAGGCAACAGGATGAGCTTAGTCGCTAGACAGAGGTGTGCCCTAATGGGTGAAGAAGTCAAACCGGTGAACCTCACACATCTCTAGCATCAACCGACATCACCTGACATCGGAGAACCCAGGGTACTTCGTGTGACGCTGGCCAGTGAAGACGTTGAAAATGTTCTTCTTTCTAGTTTTCTCATTGCAGATGGGCCTAGCAATACCAGNACCAGAATTTTACCGGACATACCATGGACCGAGCGTGTACACAAACGGAACGATCCTAACAGTGCACGCGATGCAGACAACTCGCGGGCGATTCTTATACACGGAGTGCCATAGCTCTCTGAATCCGATGAATCTAACTGTCCAAAAAAGGTTTTAAAGAATGGCGCTTCATTCATGGTTTGTGAGACTGTCGCAACGTTTCTACCATGGCCAGTAAACGCCTTCCGCATTCTCCCAACTAACGAGGAGATGGCCCGCAAATACTGAAAGTAACTCTTGGGACGCCAAAAATGGTAAGCATAGTTCTACAGTCATGATATGAACACAGAACCAGAGGGCCCAAAGAGTTATGCGTAAGACCAATGCTGAATTCAGGACGGAAAAATTGTCCACCTGTCGAAACTCTCAATAAGTTTGCGCGTGAAACACTACAAACTTCATGCTCCACTCCGACCCCATCAAACCAACAAACACCTACGGCAAAAGCCGTCTGCCGGCCAACAACGAGGAGGTCGGTCAAATGACGTCCCTAAACTCCGAGGGATTTCTGCACCGACAACGACTGAACTGTTTCTACGCCAACGCTCAGGGTTTTCTCAGTAAGTTTCGGGAAGTGGAACTACGTTGTCGGACCGGTCGATGGGATCTCAATGCCGTAACCGAAACTTGGTTGACGACCGACATTTTAGACTTGGAGCTGCAGTTACCAGACATGGAACTATTAAGGCGTGATCGTCCAACGCAAGGTGGGGGCGTGTTGCTCTTTTATCATAACAGCTTGCAATGCGAACATACTGAGAACCCGTTCGTTGCTTCAGATACATTGTGGTGTAAATTGAAGCTAACGTAACGTGATATCGGGTTGATCGGTGTAGTTTATCTCCCTCCTTCATTAGCAGATTCATCAAAAGAGACTTTGTTGTAAACAATGTCCTACTTCTTGTTATTGAATTTCACCCACGTTCTAATTACGGGTGACTTCAACCGCCCACAGCTGAGCAACATGACGACCTCGTGTACGCCGTTTGAACGGAATTCATGCAGTTCATTCAGTCACATCCGTTGTAAAATCATGTGAAGGGATCTACCGGGTTTGGAACCAACCACATTTCGTCAACTTTGGATTTAGTACTGACAAATGAAGAATTGATGGTAGAATCAATTGCAATCGCAACTCCGTTGGGGTGCAGTGATCACGCTGTATTACTGTTCGAATACGTTTATTATGCATCAATAACAACAGTTTTTTCGGATCGCTTTTGCATTCTGACCGACTGTGCAAGACTAAACACCCTGGTTCATAGAATTCAGTGGATCTCCCCTGATATGGGATTTAATCCCCTAGAATCCTGGAGAAAATTTACTAACAGTATCATAATATTGGTGACTGTTGTTACAACAGTCAAGAGTCCATGCCAGCCGACTGTTTGAAAATCAGCAATTCGCATTCGAACTAGGAAACGGATAATGCAAATAGACTTTTACTGGAGGGAGTTCAAACGTTGTACGTACCACAGCACTTGGGAAGCCTACAGTCTCCTTCGAAACCATTGTACCAATTTGGTGCGGGAAGACAAGCACACTTATCATGATACGCTGGCTAGGAAATTTATCGTAAACCCTAAGCTATTATATAAGCAAGTAAATGCTTCCCGGAAAGTCAAACATGGGGTTCCGATACTAAAATTAGTAGGAAGTGTTTAAATGACAACAAAGGAGGCTGCAAAAATGCTTAGACTACAGTACGCTCAAGTGATCAATGCGTCTAGTAATAGTTTGTTGGAACATATTCCTTATCCATTACCGACAAACATTATCTTTTCTCCCGAAAGGATAAAGGCAAAGCTCCCGGCTTTAAAGCAGAACTCATCACCGGGTCTAGATAACATACATCCACAAACCCTTATCACCCTGGCTAGTCACATAGCCGGTCCTTTAAGTGGACTATACCAAAAATTGTGCTCCTCAGTTGTGGAAAAACTATGTTCTTTCACTAATTTTCAAAGGCGAATGCCGTAGTGATCCAGCCAGTTACCGACCCGTCACTCTCCTCCCAACGTTGTCAAAGGTCATGGAATCCATTGCCGCGTATTCTGTAATGGATCATCTGTAGAATAATGACCTACTGTCACCAGCCTAGCACGGGTTTCGGAAAAATCTGTCCTGCGCAACTAACTAGATTTAGCTCGGGACGATTGGACCCATGCTGTAGACCAAGGCAAAGCGGTAGGTGTTATTTACCTGGTCTTCTCTAAAGCGTTTGATAGGGTGAATCATCAATAACTGGCACGGAAGCTATATAACTATGGAATCCGTGAACTCGTACTTGACTGGATCGAAGAGTTTCTTCGACTACGTACCACGTCAGTTCGATTCACTTTTTGATCCAATAAATGTCAATCGTGGGGTTCGACAGGGATCTGTGCTAGGCCCACGTCCCTTCCTTGCCTTTATAAACGATCTTCCAGACGTCCTTGGACCACAAACTCTGCTGTTTGAAGACGATGCCAAAATATGGGGGACAATAACAAAACCAGAAGATTCATTTGCACTCCAGAACACCCATGACGAAGCCCACAGATGGTTCGTCTCCATTAACATGGAATTTAACGTTACCAAATGCAAAGTCTTATCACTACTTCACAATGGTGGTTTCTCCTACACTCTCGAAAATGAAATTCGGCCCCATGATATGTGAAGTGGGAGTAGTCATTTGTATAGATTTGAGTTGCTCCACAAACTCTTCCAGAGCATCGGCCATGGCGGTAAAACAGGTTAGACTGCTCAAACGGGTTTTGGGATCTTTTGAGCCGGCTTTGTTTTCACGTCTGTTAGCCACATATGTCCGTTCATGCACCGAGTACTCAATTCAGGCTTGGAACCCAAGGCTGCAGCTAGATCGGAAGGCGCTCAAACATCCACAGAGAATGGCTACCAAGATGTCCAAAGGTCTACATTCCAAGACCTATGGCGGAAGATTACAGCTATTGGGGCTATACTCGTCTCAATATCGTCAACTCAGAGGTGATATGATCTTTCTGCATAGGATTTTCCAACAGCCCAACCATCCATGTAGACATCTATTTGTTCTATCAACCAATGTTCATCTCAGAGGCTATCCAATGAAGTTGGCACTCCAAAAGAGCCGTCTCGACTGCAAACACCATTCGTTTGCAATCAGAGTGTGCAGCACTTGGAACTCTCTACTAACTCACGTGGTCTGTGCCCCAACATTAGTATCTTTCAAGCGTCAGGTTGATGATGCTCTGGCAAACATTGCCTCAACACCTGAATAATATACTCTCCTCCGCTCGTCACAAACATTACATTACTCTTTTACGTACATGGACTAACTGTGATTTTGTGAATCGTCTTCCGAACCCAAAGTGTAAACACCCTATGGTATTTGATTAGCGAAGCCTTTGTAAGTTTTTTCCATTATAAAAACTTGAACTTGAATTTGGTGCATGACACATGCCATAGCACTCGTTATCTGCAGATATCAGGGATATTCTTTAACACATTATTTATTCTTATTCACAATTAAACTGAAGGTACTTGTGAGTAGTGGTATGGGATGAATGATGGTAAGTTGCACTGACTAACCTTTTATTTCATCTTCACGCACAATCGTGAGCTCGGTCAGTTAACTATACAGTTGTACAACTCTGGTAGGCGGTCAAAAACCCTGGGAGGATACAAGTTTTTCCCTTACAATGAAATGTAACTCCGATAATTCAAAATGCTCGGTTATCTTTCTAGTCTTTCTTGTTGATCCCGGTATCAAAAGCATACACATGCTTATCAAGCGCTACTCGTGGGAGAGACTATATTATATTCTAATGAAGCCGTATGTTGATTACTCTATTTGTTGTTGTAAAACCCTCAATATCATCTCACCTGTTGTACATAACATCGCTAAAATTTATGCTGTGAGCAGAGACCAAGAACGAATACTTAAACCGGTCTCATTCCCTCGATGAATATCTTAGAGTTCAATAATGATTTTACTCACGTGTTTTGTTATTTCAGTTGTATTTACTTTAAAACCTTTGCATGAAAATGTTTTTCTAATTTGTACGAGTTGCAAAAAATTGATTGTCTATAAATATGGCTCCAAAGGCGGCGCGGAACTCAGAAGGATTTTGAACTTTTATGAATCGTCAGTTCTCAGATGGATGGTTAAAACTTTGGGGGCTCGAGAGTCGGACCTCAAGACTAACTCATGTAATATCATCGTGCTTTTCCCGTTTGGGGACAACTTAAATTTAGAGGTATTCACTTGGGGCAGAACGCTGTAGAATAAATAATCAAATTCATTCGTTCCTAAGGTATCAAGACTATGGAGGATTCACTGAAAACCTTCCGGTTATCTGTTGTGATGCCGGTGCCGTATATTGATGGTTACCATCTTAACATCATTGAACATCTATAATATTAAACAATTTTTCAATTATCGCAATTTTCTGCTTAAAAGTAATCCTTGTGCTACTAGGCCTAGTCGATCAGTCTGAATGTTTTATTCAGCTAATGTTTCACTGAAGAAATGTCTTTTTGTCAAAAAAAAATACAACCTATTATTGTAGTTAGAGCATGCATGGAATCTATGACCCAGATGAATTGGTACATAAAATGCTGTGGGTAAATTTAACACCTTATTGTTCAATATCTGGGTCAATGTTAAACTACAATTCAAACAACTATACCGTAAAATCACCAAGCAAAACTCGATTTCATTCCAGTTTACCATCAAAATGCCCTCGAAAATGTCCATTTAATTTTGATTTTACCGAAATCATTATTAGGAGATGGAGATACTGTTATCAGTTGAAGTCTATCATGGCCGACTGCAAACAGCTCTGCCTGAAACATGACACTTCGTTGGTTGAACAGAAGACTTTCATCACTGACATTCATTCAATGCATTGCCAAAATAATCGACCATTTGTGACGGATTTAAAATCCGTGAAACGCTTACAAGTAAACCGCCCTCTGCTTGTTCGTCGTGTAGCGAAAGGCATTTGGTAGGTTTTCGTCTCTTTAAAAGCCTATCTATCAAAAGTGCAATAAACGAAGTCACAAGGAAGAATGCTGTTCGTCAATGAAACATACTGAAACCAGCCAGAAGGAAGCGGTTCACAGAAAATCCGACAAACGGTTCTCCAAAGTGCGCTCAATTTTCCCAGCTATTCAAATAGATTGCCAGCCAAAAAACATTCCTCTCTGTGCTCATCAGTGGTAAACCAGCCAAACTGCAGTTTATACACAGCCTCAGACATCGCTCTAATCTCTAGAGGCACAAAGAACCGTATCGGGAGGCCGAAAATTATTCCATCTACCAAAAAGCGAAAAGTGCGTCAGTAGGTGAGCTGAGACTGACTGGTGAAATCAACGGTGACGTTTCATTCCGAAGCATTACCACAAAATGAATATTTTGTCTGCGTGATCGACCTAACCTGAATCTCTTCAGTGTTGATCTGATCGAAAAGTTCGGATTGCTTGATGTTCCCATGAACCAAGTGTGCCGCCAAGTCCGAATGCAGAACAGGTCATCATCCTCGATTGTATGCATGAAACAATCACGGAAACCGAAATTAGCATCTGTATTCCAAAAAGGCCTTGATCATTGCAAAAAGTCCTGTGTCTCACATTCACCGAAGCCAGATTCCAAGCCCGAGTTTAAATTCTATTTCTCTGTAACCTACGCCGCCATCTAACCATTGGACACCGAACTAAATTGGTCGCAACAATCTGGTGTCACTAGGCTGTTCAGTTGCGCATCATGGGCAGCTCCGATCATGGTCGTTAAGACGCCAAATGGTAAGCTGAGCATTTGTGCCGCTTTCTCAA